CTGTGGGCTTATTCTGTACAGAGTCTAGGTACGTTTTAGATAAAGCCTTATCATAAAAAATCATTTTTTAACAAAGATAAACAATTTATTGCTACATTTTTAATTTACAATTCTTCAGTTTGGAAGCTATCTCTGACTGCAAATTTTCGCAACAGAGTTAAAATTCTATGTCAGTAAAAATGTAGTTTCTGATGAGGAATCTTTGGGAGTAAAAGAATGTTGCAATTTGTGGATATTTGTAGATAAATAGTTTTGATTGTATGAAATTATTTTTTGGAAGAGAACTTGTCTGACTTCCTTAGTCATTAAATATATAATATGTCTTTAAAAAAATTAAATGCCTTTGCTACTAGTCATCAAAAACAGTTTGAAGGAATTATATGGTACTTCAAAAAGATTAGAAGAGACAACATTGTTAAAAAATGATTTTCAGAACAAACTGAAATGAAAGCCTGTGATAAAACAGACATTATTCCTTTATAATGAGTTAAATGACCAGTATACTTTATGATCATTTTCAGATACAAAGTGTTTGGTGACAGGGGATACATCTGCAGAGGTCAATGTGGAAGAAACTTCTCCAAACAAAAAAGAAAACCTGGCAGATACTAGCTGTGATCAGGTAAACACATAGCATTTTACATACTTAAACATCAAAAACAACTGGTAGACCTTTTCTTGAAGTAATAGTGCTGTAAAATATTATACAAAATACTAATAATATGTGTAACTTATTTTGCGAGAAAATTATAAGGGATTTTTTATTTATGAAACAGCGTTGACATGATTTTTCAGGGAACAAGTAAAAGCACACAAAATGACAGCCACTGTCTCCTGAAGGATATACAGACAAGAGATGTAACTTTTAAGGACTGCGGAACATTTTGGCAGGATGGTTGGAGGAAAAAGCTTTGTAAATGTGCAGATTGTGTGGTAAATATTTTTTTATTCAAATCAAATACCTCAGTTTTACTGAAGCCTATTCATTAATTCATCTTTTTAATTTGATGGAAGAAATGTTTTAGTGTATGAAAGCAGCATTTCTAGACATTTTTGATGTTTTATACTAGATTAATGATGTATGAATTCGGAGGTTGTGAAAAGCAAATGGAAACTATGTGAAAGAAGATAAATTTATCATACTTACATTACATATTCTGTCATCTTTGATAGGCAATGTACAAAGAAAAATCCCTTGGATTTCTGATTGACGAATCAGATACTGTACATAAATATGAAGAGCGAGGCAGGGACAAGGCTGTTTCCACCTCTCAGTATGACAAGGGGCTCCAGGCTTTATCCTCCATGGACAGGGTACAACAAGTCGAGGTTATTCATGGTTAGTGGCTGATAAAATTTGATAGATTCACAGAGAAACTATTCTTTCTGTTTTCCTTACAGAAGGAAAATGTTATCAGACAGGTAAACCAAATTGCCTCTTATAATTTTCCAGGCTTCAATGACTTGAAGTCAGAGCTAACAGATTATTTGAAAAAGTTTGCTGAAAATGGAAAGGTAAGATTGTAATTGTTAATGATCAATTATATTTGTCTTCACTTATAACCTCAAGAATGCTAGACTACCTGTGCATGTTTAAGACTTGTATTTAATAAAAAATTTAAAACATTACATATAAGGAAAAAGAATATGTCAGACAAAATCAACTGGATTGAAAATTAAGCTACTGGAATATGTATTTAAACTAAACCTAAAGAAAATTTTAACCATTGGTTTCAGTACGTGAGAAAAAACTTCTTTCCATGAATTTTGTGATTTACCTGTGTAATATAATGACTTGTTTCATTAGGTTGTAAGAGAGGAGGACATTCGAGAGTTTTTCTCTGGAATGGAGGCCAGAAAGCGACAAAGGGCCACAGGACCAATTCCTTACATGTGCAAATGAGACTTTACAAGCTTTATTATCAAGTCTCAGTATTTCATAGACAGACAAAGAAGGTTTTATTCTGTTTATATTTATGCCCTTTCAAACAAAGATGCAAAGGCAGAAAATGTGAAAAAAAAATTTTACCAGAAATTTTGAACAGGTAGTGCAAGGGCTTTCTTATGTTTACTTCTTGTGATATGAACTTCTGATGGGAACCAACAGTTAGGTCCTTTGAGTTTTATCTCATTTAATGCTTTCACCTTGGACACTATTTTTGAATGATTATCTGTGGCTTTCACATTTCACACATATATTCCATGTTATAAGAGCTCTTTGGTACCAAGTTTCATCTTTTGACCTTGATGTTTAACCTCCTTTTGAAAAATTTTAACTTGACCGTAAGTTTTGAATGGTAGGTCCTAATATTTCAAATGTATTGTCTGTTTCAAGCAATTTGTTCGTGTACCAACAGTTTTTGACCCTTGGACCTTGATATTGGAGTTTAACCCAATTTTGAAGAACTTTTAACCTTGGTCATCAATATCTGAATGGTTAATGTAAGGGGTCTTTTATTTCACAGGCACATCCTTGTAGAAAGACCTTTCTTTGGGTAACAACAGTTTTAATGTTTTGTTCTAGATTGACTTGCATATGAACTTGAATCTTTTCCCTTAGCTGTGATACAGGGACCTTTGTGTTTCATGAACATGTCTTATTTTTAAAGAAGTTTTTTGGTTGATTTTTTGTACAAGCTAGTCCTATCAAACTTTAACTCCCACTCATTTTTCAAATCAGATATATCTGAAATGAGATTTAGGTTACTTATAGTCACTTGCTTTCATATACATGTACATTTTGTATACTGTAGAATCATTAGGACAGATGTTTGTGGATTATGTGGGTCACCTTTTTCCAAGAATTTACATCCCCATAAAGAATTATTTTTTCAACATATGTATACATTTAATCTCATGTACATTCAAGACAACCACCAAAATTACACCCCCGTGAAACAATGAAATTTTGCATGCCCATGAACATTGACCCCTAAGAATTCAAAATGATTCCACAGTAAGTGATAATGTTAGTATTGTAGGTTCATTCACAAAGAATTATAAGCAAAGTTTCGACCATACTTGCATGGAAACAGGGGATCTGCAATATTCCATATTCCTCTTACCAATTATCCAGTATTTTCTTTGAGCCACATGGAAAATTATTATGTACACATTTACCAAATTGAGTCATTGGAATTGTGTAACATGTATATTGAATTGGTGATCAGTGGATAAGTTGTAACTGAAATCAATGTATACAATCAATTACATAATCTACAGATTGTGAATACATTATCCAGTATTCAAAACGATTTTGATAGAGGCAAGGCCTCACTTATTTCTTACTGAAGATGAGAGGGGTAAAGACAGTATAATTTTAAATTTTATTTTTGTCTTGTCTTGAGATGTATATTTAGTTACAAGTTACAAGAAAGCTTTTAGTATGATGTTGTGTATTTATATAATTCTCTTTTTTAAAAAATTAATGAATAAATGTGGAAAGTAACTAGTGGAAATTCTTTTCTGATAGATTTACAACAGAAGATTTTACGAAAGAGCTTATGACTAAGAACATAAGTTGTTCATGTAAATTTCTAATTTACATTAAAAGTTCATGATAAATTTTTTAAAAGGAATATAGAACGATATTTTTTTGCAAGGAATTTGAAACATTTATAAATTGTGCAAAATTTTACTGTCACTTAACTTTTGTAGTCAAAGTAAGTTCTTTTCTAAAAAGGCCGTTGGTTCTTTAAACAATTCTCAGGTTTTACCCACTAGCCATATGCATTCCAGGTTTTAAAAATATTTTTGGGTTTTTTTAGCTCACCTGAGCCGAAGGCTCAAGTGAGCTTTTCTGATCACATTTTGTCCGTTGTCAGTCCATCTGATCTAGCTGTCCGTCTGTAAACTTTTCACATTTTCGACTTCTTCTAAAGAACCACTGGGCCAATTTTAACCAAACTTGGTACAAAGCATCCTTGGGTGAAGGGGAATTTAAATTATAAAAATGAAGGGTCAGGTCCTCTCAAAAGGGGAGATAATCAAGAAAAGACAAAAGAAGGGTGGGGTCATTAAAAAATCTTCTCAGGAACCACTGGGCCAGAAAAGCTGAAACATGTGGAAGCATCATGGGGTAGAACTACTGTGAAACTTATGTGGAAGCATCATGGGGTAGTGTAGATTCTAAATTTCAATCCATGACCCCTGGGGGTTGGGCGAGGCCACAATAGGGAATCAAAAGGTTTTCATAGAAATAAATAGAAATTTTTTTTTAAAAATCGTCTTCTCAAGAAATACTTGGCCAGAAAAGCTGAAACTTATGTGGAAGCATCCTTGGGTAGTGTAGAATTTAAATTGTTCAAATTATGACCCGTTGGGTACGATGGGGTCGCAACAGGTATTACAAGGGGGAAATCTGGTTATGTATAGCATGGACAAAGCTTCTCAGGTGAGCGATGTGGCCCATGGGCCTCTTGTTTAACAAGATGATTTGAGCTAGAGATCCTGTAGATATGTTATACGGTTTCAGAATTTTCATCATGAAGGTCATATGGGGAATATACTATTTTCTATTTTAAAAAAGGTCCTAAAACTCCGCTTCCATTGACCACAATACCCATAATATTATATTTTGAAATTTGGTGTCTCTTACAAGGGTTTCCCGCGTGATACAGTGGTAAGAACGTCTGCTCCAGAGTGGCGGAGTACGGAATTATCGCCAAACCTCCTAACTCCGTCACTTTCGAAAAACTGCGCTGTTTGTAAATGAATGCGACTGTGGCGACATTTTCTGCATACTGTAATAGTCAAGTTCAACAAGCTAATTCGGAGAATTTGTGTACTCCGCTTAGGGAAAAAAGACCATGCGCAATTCGGGGGTGGGGGGTGGGTCGGATCTCCCCACCCACTGAATTTGTAGAATTATTAAATGTATACATGTATATTGAAGCAAATAAAAAATGCCAATATGGATATGAAGAAATGATTGCTTATTCTCATTATGTGTATAAATGGTTCTTTTTGTATAGAATATTTATCACACTACTGTAATGATGATTTTATGAGTTTGACGTCATAAATTTTACATGCTGAATGCTATCATTTAGTGGAAAAAAGTATTTCAAAAAAAAAAAAAATTATGTATTGTGCGGGACTCGAATCCGGGACCTTCTACATTTCAAGCGAGAGACATACCACTACACCACGGAACCACTTTGTATTATCGGAAATTATATGCAAACATGTACATGTATATATTCATAGATCAACGTTCGCTATTGTCACAATTTTACACAATGCATGGTTTCTAATTTAGCCTTTATTAAACGGTTCTAATAGATGCAATAAGAATAGAAAGTCCGACAACAACCTGTATTATACGTAATAAATCTTCGCATGCCCCTGTGCTAAAAATAGTACCAAGCGACATTTAATGCGATAAATACTAATAAAACAAACGGGGCGGGGCACTTTGAGAGGGATGAGAGAGGCCCTAGGAGTTTGGTATAAAATTTCATTGCAAAAGATCTTGAAATATCGCCCGGAGACGATAGTGTTACACACAGACAGAATGTATAAATTTACGACCTTGAACTTTGACCTTTTGACCTCAAAATCAGTAGGGGTCTTCCTTAGACCAGAGGTAGTTGTTGTGCAAAATTTCATTGCGAAAGCTCAAAGGGTTCTCGAGATATCGCACAGAAACGAAAGTGTTATAACAGACAGAATTTATTGATTTATGACCTTGACGTTTGACCTTTTGATCTCAAAATCAATAGGGTTCTTCTTTATGCCATAGGGAGTTGCTATGCTCAAAGGGTTCTTGAGATATCGTGCGGAAACGAAAGCGTTACAGACAGACGGACAGGCGGACGGACGGACGGACAGCTAGACGGACAGACTCAAATTAAGGGGGACAAAATAATGCGTCAAAAGACCATTAAAAAACACCTTATTTATGCATGGTTTTATCATTTTTATGTGAAATCAGGGTGTTTTCCGCTAATGGTGACGGAGTTTGGGTATTCGGAGATAATCCTTACGTTCGAATCCCACACGTGGAGACCGGTCCCTCGGATGAGACCGTAAGAGCCGCGTTCACGTGTTGCAGTAGGTTCTGGCACGAAAAAGATCTGCCTCTGCTCAATGGCCGTGAATGCCGAGTATACGACAAAATTTCTTGCTCTCCACCGGCAAATGGTTGCGTCTCCATATGAGTGAAAAATTCTCGAGATGGACGTTTAAACAATATGCAAACAAACTGTAACAAAGTACGAATCCTGGTCACGGCACCAAATGCATCAAAATAGGAGAAAAATGCGACAAACCAGACCGGGATTAGAATGCAGGCTTCCTAAATCTTTGGTCATTGCTTTGCTAACTGAGATCTGGCTATCAACGATCGAACCCATCTACCGCCACAATAAAATAACGTTCGTGGCTTCTTTGCTAGTGAAGTACAAGGGGCTAGCTTGCATTTACTGGCAATCACTGATGTGTGGGTATTACTGTATATTTCTGTGATTGCAGTGAAAAAAAATAAAAAAAAACAACAATAAAAGCATGAACAATCAGATGAAATTGGCATAATTAATCACAGGTAAACTGATCGATCACAATGTATCATAGGAAGTTGGGTGAATAAGACTAGCGAAGTATCTTTTGTGTAAGAAATAAAGTCAGAAGAACAATATCCACAATTAGCAACAATTTCATAAGATGATTTGTCTGTGAAATGACATACACACACCAATGAGGAAAAATTGATCATTTAAATGCACTTCAATATCAATTTTCACAATTGAGAAACTGATTCTTGTAAACTCCAATGAATAAGAATATGTCTGGAATTTTACATGTAAAAATTAATGTATAATGGCCAAAAGTCAAAAAATGTTCATTATTGACAGACTGAATGTCATGTTCCCCGATCACCCGCATTCTCAATTACTTTGGTTTACATAGTTTTAAATTCTCTGAATTCTAAAACTTCTTTGGAACAATGCCAGATTAGGCAATAGTTATAAATGAGAGTTTGAGAGTTAAGTGCTTTTTTAGCACACAATCTTCATAAATAGATATTTAAACTGCATAGCATTATGCAATTATTGGGGTCAGTGCGATGAATTTATAGGTACCCAGGGAGTACAAATTAACCTTGACCGAAGGGCTGAAATATTAATAAATCGCTGTAATTGTGAATTTGGGAGGTAGGCAGGTATGATAAAAGACTGTGTTAACTGAAAATATCGATGGCATTCAAATTTCACACATATATTCTATGTTAAAAGAGCTCTTGGGTACCAAGTTTTACCTTTTGACCTTGATGATTGACTTCCTTTTGTAAAATTTTAACTTGACCGTAAGTTTTAAATGGTTGATGCCAGAGCATAATATATCGAGTGCCAAGCATTTCGCTTGACATTTTGCAAAGTTACGGACAGCCTCAACCCGTTTAGAAACCGTATAGCTCCGAGTCTTTTACGCATACCTTCACGATAGGGGAGGATATATCTTTTCCACCGTGGCTTACCACGTGCACGATGATCTGAGTAATAGTTCTTTTACAAATCGCGATCGATATATAAAACTGATTTATATTTCGCACCGTGCATTGCTCATGAAACAATTTACGAGGGTCATATTAAAGTTTTTGTTTAAATTTACAATGGATGTAAGTGTGGGTATTTATTGCCATTTAATGTGTTCTAAGCACCGATTCAGATCAGGCACACGGGAGACCAAAACACAAAAAAGGTCCACAGTTATCTTAAGACCCTAAATATCAAGAGAGGCAAAATCCGACAGGCGGTCGCTGTGAATTATGTATATCATTATAGCAGGAATGCTGTAAGAATCTCTCGGAGAGATCCCAGGATTATCGGAACTGTTACCGGATCAAAGGTCACATGATCTATCGAAAATCACTTGCCGATGCCTCTGCGGTTCTGATGCACTATTATCAGTGAATTATTCAGAATGGCCATATGGCGTTTGCTTAATTAACGTAACTTGAAGGTTTTGTTGCGGCGAATTCCAATCAACAGGTTCTCAAGGGAAGAATAACTTAGAATGCACCCTCATCTTGTCCAACACATGACACACTTACATTGGTGTATGTTTGACATATTATCACAATCGTTTTTCTTTCGTAAAAACATATAGTGCAAACTGCAATACATTTATTGCTACACCCCCCCCCCCTCCCTATCCACACACACAATAATTTAAAAAATTGAAAAATATGCCCACTAAGTGAATATGGGAAAAAAAGTTTGAAAGGACATTTCTTCCCTCTAAATAAGACATTATTGCCATTCCTTTTATCTAAAAATGAAAAAGTCTGCATGTTAAAAATACAATCGAACTGTTGAGTTGATACCGGTAATAAGCAAATTCGTTGGCGGAATATTTGAAATATTCCTCGTCAAGACAAAATCCGACGAGTATTTACTTTTTCCTGTAAAATATTCTCCAAAAGCAAATAAAATGCGAACTTCTCGGTAAAATTAGTATTTTATTAAGATGAAGGCATTAGGACAATAGCTTGAAGGTAATCATTAATGCAGTCGGCAATATTTGCACACAGGAAATGGAATTATAAGCACTACACTATAAGCATTTGGAATAAGCCGAGGTTTTGATGTTGAGATCAGAAGTACACTGTTATTTGAAGCGTGACTTCCACTTAAATGAACTATTTCTGTGTATTTGCTCTGTCATTTTAAACTTATTTTCGTAATGAACATAATCTCCTTTGACACAGCAGGGAAGAAGAAAATCAACTGTTATCAGACAACAAGACTCGCCCAATAAACACTTTGCTAATTTTTAAGCAATATTTTTTTTCTCAGATAATGGAAGATTTTTTTCATGTGGGGATATTAATTATTAGGGATGATAAGCGAATACGATGAGAAGTGTCAATTTAGGGAGCCCTATCTCCTGATCTGTTGTGGTATCGATTTTGAGCGTCAATACACGGTACCTTGCTCCACGGAGAGTAAGCACAGTCGGAAAAGAGCGTCGGACGAGTAACATCAAATTACATTCCACAAAACTCGGAAGATCGCCGAGTGAGGATCTGTCCACAACTTGATAAACTTTTGTTTGATTTTATTTGTCAGAAAATGACACTTAACAAAGTTAGAAATTTCCCAGCAGTAGGTGTATAAGATAAAGGTTTGAGAGGAACTTTTTGCAATGGGTTTCAGTACGCATCGTTTTGTTGGGTCGGTGGACCCTAATCTGATATGTGGAATTTGCAGTTCTGTTATAGAGGATGCTGTGTTGACGCCTTGTGGACATACTTTTTGCTATTGCTGCCTGGAGACTTGGATGAGTAAACCGCGAGTAAATTCATGTCCTGAGTGCAGAAGTACTATGGCTCTGAGGGACGTAAAGCCGGTACTTTGTCTTCGTAATCTTGTGAATGGTTTTGATGTCATGTGTGATAACAGCGAACGTGGATGTAAGTTAGTTGTGAAATTAGAACGGTTGAAATCCCATTTACAGGTCTGTGGATATACCCCTATAAAGTGCGCAGGGTGTTCCGAGATGGTGAATCGGTCAGAACTTGCAAACCATCAAATGTCTTGCGAGGGCATTTCAGCTTCTTTGAAGGATGAAAACTACGATTCTTACATGTACAAATCTTTAGCAGCAATATCCCTAGAAAATGAAGCTACCTCTTTGGAACTTTCGGGACTCCTTGCAAAGATTTCGTCTTTGGAATTTCAGTTGAAGTCACTGAAAAGAGACATGCAAATCTCCGAGTCAAAAAACCGTGTCCTTGAACGTGAATATAGGAAAACTAAGGACGAGCTTCAACAGAAGAGAAATGAAATTCTCGAAGTCCAGTACTCCGAGTTTGACCCGGACTATGACTATGGTTACACTCCGCAAACAGTAGCCAAATTGTCCTTACTCGTCGCTAGATTTCTGTTGAAGAAACCGTCGTATGTGGACAGCGACAAAATTTTTGCGGCTGTCAAACGTTCGTACGAGCAGTATGCACGTTGTGGAAACCAGTATGAATATGATGTTCACATGCTTGTTGCCACCGCTTTTGCGAGTAATTGGTTCAGCGAAAGTCAGAGAATTAACTTTCATTGCTGGCTTCAGAGTCTTGCTAGATATCGTCAATATGCTAATACGGGGATAGATTCAAGTGAACAACATATTTACCAATGAAAATATACAACTGAACGTAAACAATTATCATTGCATACCTGTAGGACATTGACTTATATAGATCGATTTTAATTGCAACCTTTGCTTTGTTGAAATGTTCAGACACAAGCTTGAAATTTTACCTTTATATGCACTGAAATATCTGTTTGAAATGAAAACATTTAAAATCTGGGATATGCTGATTTTTAAAAACCCTTTGAAACTTTAAAATGAATTGTGAATAAATTACTAGTTTCCTCGTATGGAGTTAATGACGGTAATTAGAGGTTTATGTTTTAGATTTAGAAAAAAAGGCTTAAGCTTTCTGTTCAGAAAGTACAACAGTGTTTAAAATGTCGTCATCTCTAATTGTGATGAAAGTACGAACATTGCTTGATATATAGAGTTTAAAAAAAGTTAAACGCTTGACTTCAAACTTAAGATCACTGTAGACTTTTCAAGTCATTTAAATCTTGATTATCTTCTGTATAAGTATTATTACTCAGAAATAGGAGCATTATATAATGTTTTTAGAAAGAATATATAAGTAATGTATCTTATTATGTAAATATAAGAAGTTTAAAAAAAAAAGGTTGTTTGGATTTCGGGAAAACAAGCTTTTAAGGATAAAATCCTTGTTTTATAAAGTCATTAAAAATTTTGTGAAATAAATACATATATATGTCCACTTTATAAAAAGTTTTTTTTTTCTTTTCAGAATTGTGTGTAATTCTGTTTACTGCATGCAATCTATATATACAATTTTGTTTAAGGAAAAAATTAAGTTTTCGAGATTCGGTCATCCTTTTTGTATAGTGCACTATTTGTGTATTCCAGAAATCGGTAATAAACCATTAATTTGACAATGTTTCCTATTTTATCGTTTGTGTTGACTTCCTGACGCTGTGTTCCTAACAATTATCCCAGGATCAATAGACCCTATCTCCCAGCAAGATCTATTGGCACTCAATACTGTAGAAGACTTATTTCCTGCTATTATTATTTCATAAAATGATAAAACTGAGAAAGAAATGTTATCAAATAAACAATTATCTTATAATAAATCCAAACTGGAATATTTTTATTGAATGATTCTGACCGAAAGAAAACAATATTTCTCATTCCAGTTAAGACTGTTCTTCAGCGTGTTTGATACTGAAAATTTTATTGAGTAGAAATAAACTGATAGTTGAAGGTTTGAGTGCAGTTAAAAGTATCGAGTGCAAAGAAATAATGATAGGCCGAAGTCTATTGGGAGAAGTAATCGTCCTTTGAAGAGTCATTTTATAAAATGTGGCACGGTGAGAACGATTATGAAAGACTCAGAATTTCAAGGGCAATAAATTTACATATTTACCTGAATACATTAAGAAAATTATACCCTGGTCGATCATTACCCGTTTTTTAAAACATCTAAAGGTTGCTTTGAAAAATTAGGAGAAAATATAGCGATGAAAATGCGCACGATTTTCAACGTGTAACTGAGTCACTTATGATCTAGCTGCAGATCTGTAACTCTCCGAAAAAATAATTTGACAGACCTTAGAGCTACAGTGCCACCCATTGAAAGAACTGTATATTTATTGCGCACAAAAAAGTGCGCTGTTTATCAATTTATTTATCAATGTTTTTGAAACTATAATCTCAAAATATTACGAACCGTGTATTCCTAACTCAATCTTTCACTGTTTCCACAACAAAACATACCTTGTAGTTGTTGTTTATAGCCCTCCTGGCCCTGAAATCGAGATCATCGACAATTTCGTCTGTTTATACTGCCATTTTGGTTTGTAAGATAATTCGGCCCAACGCGCTTAGTGTAGATGTCAACTACGAATTCAAAGTACTTAATAGAAGAGTACGGATTTTTTTGAAATCTAAATTTTTTGCAATTGAGGTAAGAATTTGGAAGAATTAATCCATACACAAGCACAACTTTTTGTGCGCAATAAATATATATACATTTTTTTCAATGGGTGGCACTGTAGCTCTCCGGTCTATCAATATATTTTTCGGAGAGCTACAGTTCTGCAGCTACTTATGATCAGGAGACCAATTGCAAGTGGTCCCTTTTCGTCCGTCGTCATGCGTTAACATTTGAACATTTTGAGCGTCTTGTCTGGAATTGCTGAACCATTTTCAATGAATTTTGACAAGTTAGGATATTCTCTCGGTAAAGATGGAGAAATTTCATCTTGATTTTCAAGGTCCCACCGAGGGCCTTAGGTGTGGGGCTAAAACCATCAAAATTAATGATATCATTACTTTATTCCTGGACACCAAGCAGTCAAGCTATTTTTATTGAAATAAGTACATGTACATATATTGATTTTTCTACCAATATTTTGAAATTCGTGGCCCCAGTAGCAGGGGTTACGGTAGGGTTCTAATGATCATTTAGCGAAAAACAAATGACTTGTCTAAAAATCTTCTCTCCACTTTATACGATATAGACTATAGTTACATGGTTATGATATTACAAAAGTTGTGGGATTTATGACCCCAGAGTGAGGAGATCTGTTGGGGGGACTGAGGGTGTATTGTTTTTATTGTGAAAGCCCATTGATTCAATCTTTGAAAATTTTCTTCTCTGTTTCTGTCTATTAAGCAAACATAATTATGAGGTATATAGTAATGATCAATAAACTTTTTATAAATATATCGTATTTGACTGAGACATGAAAAGAGAACCTATGTATAAGTAAAAAACAAAATATGTTTGTGAAACACTATGCGCCCGGCGGCAACAAAGTTCGGAAAAAAGCTATTTTTAGCATTAAGGTTACAGTCAAGGTCACAAGGTCATTGACCTTGATATCATTTGAAAGAGCTTGATAAGTGGAGTATGCGTAATATGAAATCTCAATCTCTCATGGTTCAAAAGTTATAGCGAGGTTCAAAAAAGATATTTTTAGCATATAGGTCATAGTCAAGGTCACAAGATCATTGACCTTGGTGTCATTTGAAAGAACCTGGTTAGTGGAGTATGCTTACCAAATATGAAGTCTGTATCTTTCATGGTTCAAAAATTATGGTGAAGGTTAAAGTTTGCAGAAAAAAGCTATTTTTAGCATATAGGCCACAGTTAAGGTCACAAGGTCATTGACCTTGGTGTCATTTGAAAGAATTTAATTGGTGTAGTATGCATACCAAATATGAAGTCTCTATCTTTCATGGTTCAAAAGTTATGGTGAAGGTTAACGTTCGAGACAAACAAACAAAACAAACAAACAGACAGACAGACAGACAGGACAAAAACAATATACGCCCTGGATCTATCGATCCGGGCGCATAATAAAAAAGGTGTACAGTGTATTTAAAACGGCTTATTGAGACTTAAAAAAAGAAGAGTTACATTATCGATATATAACTATTACCGGTATTATTGATGTGTGATAATTATTTTATATTAAGAGAATCTTTCACAGAATGAGCAGTCAAATCTTTAAACCCAAATTGGCATTTTTCGTTTGCCTCAGTACATAATTTAATAATTATACAAATCCGGGGAGGGGGAGGGGGTGACCTCCCATTCTGAGCATCCTCCTCCTTTTTTCCTTCAGCGGGGGACACAAATTCTCTGAATAAGCTTGTTGCAATTGAATTTTATACCATGATGATAACTCCCTATGCCCCCACTCCCTTCTGTCCGTGCCTCCGTTCGGCTGTATTTCTGTCTGTAACACTTTCGTTTCCAAGCAATATCTCGCTATTGATTTTGAAGTCAAATGGTTTAGTAGAGGCTAAACTAGACACACTTGGTTTTTCGTAACATTTAGCACTGTAGATGAACGTGATGTAAACATGTATACAATATGTATGTGACCTATTGTTTGCATTTATTTCCTCCTTAAATCAAGTTTGTCAGTGGTGGAGGGGAAAGATTTTCGCTTCGCATGCCAGAGGCTCCCGGTTCAAATCCTGGTTGATCCTTTTTGGGGACCTTTTTTTTATCAATTAAGGACCAAATGATAATATTTAAGCATCCTGAAATGAAGATGTTATGACGTATGGCGTGTACAAAATATTATCATTGTGTGATAAGTATTTTATATTAAAAGAATCTTCATACATGTATATACACATTTAAAGAATAAGCAGTCAATTCTTTATATCCCTGTTGGATTTTTTTTTTAATTTGCTTTAGTGCGTAATTTAATAATTCTGAAAATTCAGTGAAGGGAGGGGGTGGGGGTACGACTCCCCCCCATTTGAGCATCCTCCTCTTTTTCACTCAGCGGGGGACACGAATTCTTTGAATAAGCTTGTTTAATAGAGGACCTTTGTACAGGAATTTTAAAAGTACATATATGTTCCTGTTTTTATTTTCAAAGATTATTATCGCTAAAATGTGAGTTACCATGCAAAAACAATATACGAGGAATATTCACCAGAAAACCGTCCTGAATATGCTAACTTCCAGATGAAGAGGGAGCGCCAGAGCCAATTAAAATGATTTCAGGCATCCTTATGTCCCATTTGAAAGTGGCAATTAGAAAAATAATTGACAATTTATAAAAAAAAAAAAAAAAAAAAGAAGCAAAAGTTAAAATCCTTTTCTGTGAATTGGAGCGGTCTTATACTTTAAAAACCTTAGAGAAATAAAAGAAGGGGTGGGGTGGGGTACACAACCGACATTTCAAATAAGCATTCTCATACTAAAATAACATTATTATTTTAGAAAAAATGGGACACCCCTCCCTGATAGTAAATGCCTGGATTTTGTTAATTGCTGAAAATCAGTTTGCTTGTCTCTGACAGGTTATCATTACTTGCATAAACTTATAAATACGTACTTACGCTTGAAAATGGAAAGAAGTCTCATACTTATGTTCGTTTTTAATTAAGTGTCTCTTATAAAAAATAAATAGAGAAAAAAAAATATTTGTTAGATTTATATTCTTATATTTTGGTAATAGAGTTGTTGCGTTTACTTTATAGATCGGGATCGGGTTAGGCAAAGCAAGAGTTACTGTTCATTCTAGAAAATTCGCTGCTGTGGCGCTGCTACCCCGTTCCGGTTAAAAAAAAAAATAACAACGTGAGTTTTCTAAGACATAGAAAGAGAAAAAAAATTCCGAGGGTATAAGAAGGTTTATTTAAAAATATTTAACAAGTTAATACACAGATATTGTCGACAGGTATGGCGAAGTGGGGTGAAGGGGATCCACGCTGGATTGTGGAGGAGAGACCCGATGGAACTAACGTAAACAATTGGCACTGGTAAGGATAACAGGCGGGTAGGGACATACAATCTCTCTTTAGGCTGTTTAGCTCTCTGAAAAAAAGATGTGTGAGCAAATCGATCTATCGAAGTGAAAAACTTAATCATATTGTCTGATTTTGACACGGTGTAATGACAGCAGTATTTCATAGGTAATTTTTAAAGCAAGAAAATAAGTACTTATAGTAACATGTGATATCAACATAGAAAAGGTTTTTCTTAGTCATACGAATGTTGCTTAACAATGCATGTGACATTATTCGTGAAAAAAAACCTCTTCAACCCATCTAACAAATACATACATTTAATGATAGACTTAGATAATTTATAAGTAACTCAGATAATTTATAAGTAATTCTAAGAGTGACATGTGTGCTGAATATGTATTACAGGGTGGAAAAGAATGCCACAGGTTGGTCAAAGGACAGACTGAAGGAACTTCTGACTGGTATTGTAATAGAAGATGATAAACGTAAGCTTTTTTTTGTTTTACATCTTTATTAAATTATATAAATACTATAAGTCATATTATGCTTATTATTGAAACCACTTGCACTTGTTTTGTGTATGGGGCACCCCCTACTTACTTTTACTACAATTAAGGTACATAACTCACTTTCAGGCATCCCTGCTTCAAGCTTGTATTCTGTTAATATATCAATCATTAACCTACTTTAAAATGACATTGTTCGCTTCAACAAGACACTTTTTACTTGTTAATTAAATCGTTTTAGACGTCTCTGGTTGAGCCTGATTTTTAGCTCTACTGGTCAGAGACCAGAAGAGCTTATGCGATAATAATGAGTCCATCGTCTGTCGAGCTGTCTGTCTGTCTGTCTGTCCGTCTGTAAACAATTTTTCAAAATGCTATCCTCCTACAGTTTTGGTCTGATTTCAACATAACTGGGCACACATGTAGACTACACTAAGATACATAATTCTATGTATCGATTTTTGATTTCAATGAACGGTGTTGCTGTGGTTACTAAAAATAGAAATTTCTGTGAGATTCTTTTAAAATGCTACTCCTTCTACAGTTTTGGTCTGATTTCAATATGACTTGGCACACAAGTAGACTACACTAAGATACATAAATCTGTTTATCGGTTTTTGATTTCGATGAATGGTATTGCTGTGGTTACTAAAAATAGAAATTTCTTTGAGATTCTTTTAAAATGCTACTCCTCCTACAGTTTTGGTCTGATTTCAGTATGACTTAATACACAAGTAGTCTACTCTAAGATACATAATTCTGTGTATCAGTTTTAGATTTCAATGAACGGTGTTGCCGTGGTTAATAAAAATAGAATTTTCTGTGAAATACATTTAAAATGCATTTCCTCCTACAGTTTTGGTCTGATTTCAATATGACTTACCACACAAGTAGTCTACACTAAGATACATAATTCTATATATCGATTTTTGATTTCGATGAACGATGTTGTCGTGGTCACTAAAAATAGAAATTTCTGTTAGATTCTTTTAAAATGCTACTCCTCCTACAGTTTTGGTCTGATTTCAATATAACTGGGCACACAAGTAGTCTACACTAAGATACATAATTCTATATATCGATTTTTGATTTCGATGAACGGTGTTGCCGTGGTTACTAAAAATAGAAATTTCTGTGAGATTCCTTTAGAATGCTACTCCTCCTACAGTTTTGGTCTGATTTCAATATGACTTAGCACACAAGTAGTCTACACTTAGATACATAATTCTTTATATCGGTTTTTGATTTCGATGAAAGGTGTTGCCGTGGTTAATAAAAATAGAAATTTCTGTGAAATACTTTTTAAATGCTACTCCTTCTACAGTTTTGGTCTGATTTCAGTATGACTTGGCACACAAGTAGACTACTCTAAGATACATAATTTCGCGTATCAGTTTTTGATTTCGATAAACAGTGTTGCCATGGTTACTAAAAAAAGAAATTTCTGTGAACTTTCTCCTCCTAGTTCTGTAAACTTTTATTAAAAGCTACTCCTACAGTTGTAGTCTTATTGCAATCTTGCCACAAAAAGAGACTTAATCAAGGATCATTATTATACCCGCACTTTCTAAAGAAAGTTCGGGTATATTGTTGTTACTCATGTCCGTCCGTCCGTCCGTCTGTCACACTTTTCTTCCCTGAACTCCTCCTACATTTTACACAGTAGCTTCATCATCTTTTAAGAGATGGTTGGTGGTGTCATGTAGATGTGCAGTAAGGTTTCGGAATTTTGATTTTGCCCCGGGGGGTCAAATGGGGGTCGAAAAATGACGTTTTTCGTGCAAAAAGTCTCGTCTTCCCTGAACTCCTCTTACATTTTACTCAGCAGCCAAATCACCTTTTGGGGGATGGTAGGTGGTGTCATGTAGATGTGCAGTAAGGTTTCGGAATTTCAATTTTGCCCCGGGGGGTCAAATGGGGGTAGAAAAATGAGGTTTTTTATACAAAAAGCCCTGTTTTCCCTGAACTTCTCTTACATTTTACTCAGCAGCCTAATCATCTTTTAGGAGATGGTTGGTGGTGTCATGTAGATGTGCAGTAGGGTTTCGGAATTTTGATTTTTCCCCGGGGGGTCAAATGGGGGTCGAAAAATGACGTTTTTTATGCAAAAAGCCCTATCTTCCCTGAACTCCTCTTACATTTTACTTAGCAGCCTAATCGTCTTTTGTTGGATGATTAGTGGTGTCATGTAGATGTGCAGTAAGGTTTCAGAATTTTGATTTTGCCCCGCGGGGTCAAATGGGGGTCGAAAAATGACATTTTTTGTGCAAAAAGTCCCGTCTTCCCTGAACTCCTTCTACATTTAACTCAGCAGCCAAATCACCTTTTGGGGGATGATTGGTGGTGTCATGTAGATGTGCAGTAAGGTTTCGGAATTTTAATTTTGCCCCGGGGGGTCAAATGGGGGTCGAAAAATGACGTTTTTTATGTAAAAAGCCCCATCTACCCTGAACTTCTCTTACATTTTACTTAGCAGCCTAATCATCTTTTGTGGGATGATTAGTGGTGACATGTAGATGTGCAGTAAGGTTTCGGAATTTTGATTCTGCCCCGGGGGGTCAAATGGGGGTCGAAAAATGAAGTTTTTTGTGCAAAAAGTCCCGTCTTCCCTGAACTCCTTCTACATTTTACTCAGCAGCCAAATCACCTTTTGGGGGATGGTTGGTGGTGTCATGTAGATGTGCAGTAAGGTTTCGGAATTTTGATTTTGCCCCGGGGGATCAAATGGGGGTCGAAAAATGACGTTTTTTATGCAAAAAGCCCCATCTTCCCTGAACTTCTCTTACATTTTACTTAGCAGCCTAATCATCTTTTGTGGGATGATTAGTGGTGTCATGTAGATGTGCAGTAAGGTTTCGGAATTTTGATTTTGCCCAGGGGGGTCAAATGGGGGTCAAAAAATGACGTTTTTTGTGCAAAAAGTCCCGTCTTCCCTGAACTCCTTCTACATTTTACTCAGCAGCCTAATCACCTTTTGGGGGATGATTGGTGGTATCATGTTGATGTGCAGTAAGGTTTCGGAATTTTAATTTTGCCCCGGGGGGTCAAATGGGGGTCGAAAAATGACGTTTTTTATGTAAAAAGCCCCATCTACCCTGAACTTCTCTTACATTTTACTTAGCAGCCTAATCATCTTTTGTTGGATGATTAGTGGTGTCATGTAGATGTGCAGTAAGGTTTCGGAATTTTGATTTTGCCCCGGGGGGTCAAATGGGGGTAAAAAAATGAAGTTTTTTGTGCAAAAAGTCCCGTCTTCCCTGAACTCCTTCTACATTTTACTCAGCAGCCTAATCACCTTTTGGGGGATGATTGGTGGTGTCATGTTGATGTGCAGTAAGGTTTCGGAATTTTGATTTTTCCCCGGGGGGTCAAATGGGGGTCGAAAAATGACGTTTTTTATGCAAAAAGCCCTATCTTCCCTGAACTCCTCTTAAATTTTACTTAGCAGCCTAATCATCTTTTGTTGGATGATTAGTGGTGTCATGTAGATGTGCAGTAAGGTTTCAGAATTTTGATTTTGCCCCGGGGGGTCAAATGAGGGTCGAAAAATGACATTTTTTGTGTAAAAAGTCCCGTCTTCCCTGAACTCCTTCTACATTTAACTCAGCAGCCAAATCACCTTTTGGGGGATGATTGGTGGTGTCATGTAGATGTGCAGTAAGGTTTCGGAATTTTAATTTTGCCCCGGGGGGTCAAATGGGGGTCGAAAAATGACGTTTTTTATGTAAAAAGCCCCATCTACCCTGAACTTCTCTTACATTTTACTTAGCAGCCTAATCATCTTTTGTGGGATGATTAGTGGTGACATGTACATGTGCAGTAAGGTTTCGGAATTTTGATTCTGCCCCGGGGGTCAAATGGGGGTCGAAAAATGACGTTTTTTGTGCAAAAAGTCCTGTCTTCCCTAAACTCCTTCTACATTTTACTCAGCAGCCAAATCACCTTTTGGGGGATGGTTGGTGGTGTCATGTAGATGTGCAGTAAGGTTTCGGAATTTTAATTTTGCCCCGGGGGGTCAAATGGGGGTCGAAAAATGACGTTTTTTATGCAAAAAGCCCTATCTTCCCTGATCTCCTCTTACATTTTACTTAGCAGCCTAATCATCTTTTGTTGGATGATTAGTGGTGTCATGTAGATGTGCAGTAAGGTTTCAGAATTTTGATTTTGCCCCGGGGGGTCAAATGGGGGTCAAAAAATGACGTTTTTTGTGCAAAAAGTCCTGTCTTCCCTGAACTCCTCTTACATTTTACACAGTAGCCTAATCACCTTTTGGGAGATGGTTGGTGGTGTCATGTACATGTGCAGTAAGGTTTCGGAATTAAGATTTTGCCCCGGGGGGTCAAATGGGGGTCGAAAAATGACGTTTTTTATGTAAAAAGCCCCATCTACCCTGAACTTCTCTTACATTTTACTTAGCAGCCTAATCATCTTTTGTGGGATGATTAGTGGTGACATGTACATGTGCAGTAAGGTTTCGGAATTTTGATTCTGCCCCGGGGGGTCAAATGGGAGTCGAAAAATGACGTTTTTTGTGCAAAAAGTCCTGTCTTCCCTAAACTCCTTCTACATTTTACTCAGCAGCCAAATCACCTTTTGGGGGATGGTTGGTGGTGTCATGTAGATGTGCAGTAAGGTTTCGGAATTTTAATTTTGCCCCGGGGGGTCAAATGGGGGTCGAAAAATGACGTTTTTTATGCAAAAAGCCCTATCTTCCCTGATCTCCTCTTACATTTTACTTAGCAGCCTAATCATCTTTTGTTGGATGATTAGTGGTGTCATGTAGATGTGCAGTAAGGTTTCAGAATTTTGATTTTGCCCCGGGGGGTCAAATGGGGGTAAAAAAATGACGTTTTTTGTGCAAAAAGTCCTGTCTTCCCTGAACTCCTTCTACATTTTACTCAGCAGCTTAATCACCTTTTGGGAGATGGTTGGTGGTGTCATGTACATGTGCAGTAAGGTTTCGGAATTAAGATTTTGCCCCAGGGGAACAAATGGGGGTCGAAAAATGACGTTTTTTATGCAAAAAGCCCTATCTTCCCTGAACTCCTCTTACATTTTCCTCAGCAGCCTAATCATCTTTTGGGAGATGGTTGGTGGGGTCATGTAGATGTGCAGTAAGGTTTTGGAATTTAGATTTTGCCCCGGGGGGTCAAATGTGGGTTGAAAAATGACGTTTTTTGTGCAAAAAGCCCTGTCTTCCTTGAAGTCTTCCTTAATGTTACTCAGAAGCCTAATCATCTTTTAGGAGAGTTAAATATTTTGAAAATTATGTAAAACATCAACGTCAAGGGGTAACAAGATGTGTTTGTGAAACACTATGTGCCCGGCGTCAACAAAGTTCGAAAAAGCTATTTTTAGCATATAGTTCACAGTCAAGGTCACAAGGTCAGTGACCTTGGTGTTATTTGTAAGAACTTAATTAGTGGGGTATGCATACTAACTATGAAGTCCCTATCTCCTATGGTTCAAAAGTTATGGCAAAAAGTAGAAAAAGCTATTTTTAGTATAAAGGTCACAGTTAACTTCACATGGTCATTGACCTTGGTGTTGTTTGAAAGAACTTTATTAGTGGAGTATGCATACTTAATATGAAGTCCTTATCTCTTATGGTTCAAAAGTTATGGCAAAAAGTGGAAAAAGCTATTTTTAGCATATAGGTCACAGTCAAGGTCACAAGGTCATTGACCTTGATGTCATTTGAAGGAACTTAATTAGTGCAGTATGCATACCAAATATGAAGTCCCTATCTTCTATGGTTCAAAGGTTATGGCAAAAAGTGGAAAAAGCTATTTTAAGTATAAAGGTCACAGTCAAGGTCACATGGTCATTGACCTTGGTGTTGTTTGAAAGAACCTTTTTAGTGGAGTATGCATACCAAATATGAAGTCCCTATCTCCTATGGTTCAAAAGTTATAATAAACAGTTGAAAACCCTATTTTTAGCATATAGGTCACAGTCAAGGTCACAAGGTCATTGACCCTGATGTCATTTGAAAGAACTTTATTAGAGGAGTATGCATACTAATTATGAAGTCTCTATTTCTTATGGTTCAAAAGTTATGACAAACAGTTGAAAAACCTATTTTTAGCATATAGGTCACAGTCAACGTCACAAGGTCATTGACCTTGATGTCATTTGAAAGAACTTTATTAGAGGAGTATACATACCAAATATGAAGTCTCTATCTCTTACGGTTCAAAAGTTTTGGCCAAGGTTAAAGTTGACAACAGACAAACAGATAAACAGACAAACAGACAGGACAAAAACAATATGTGCCCCGAAAAAATTCGGGCGCATAAAAAAACATCGCATGCTGGGAAACACCTTGAATTCTTATGAGTAATTTATGTAAATGTCAAATGTGAGAGTCATATCTCATCTCAATCAAAAGTTATAAGCAAGTGCAACATTTTTGAAAAGTAGGTTAGGTTTGATCGCTTCAAGGTCAAGGTCACAGTGTAAAAGTCATGATTTATTTGGAAAGGTCTTATCACAGGTAATAATATACATGCATTATGATATGAATGCCCTAACTTTTCTCTTTCAAAATGATGAATTTATAACAATTTAATTTTTTTGCAAGTTGGTCAAACTTCTAGGTCACATGTAAAAAAAAAAAAACCATGCTATTCTCACAGGTAAATATACTAATACATAAGTTTAATATGAATGTCTCTTCTCATTCAGTAGATATGACCGTGATAACCAAGGTTAAATTTATTGAGACAGATGGACTGAGTCTGACATACAAATGTACATATTTCTATATGAATTGGGTAAAATTGGCCCAGTGGTTCTAGAGATTAGTTAAAAATGTAAAAAGTTTTCAGACAAACAGATGGACAACACGTCACGACAGACATTATATGCTAAGGAAACCAAAAAAGCTCAAATGAGTGTTTTGAAAGGGTTACAATATGGTTGGAGTATTTGGAAAGCTGTTTTTTTCCTGCAGAGATATGCATGACCAACATATTCATGTTTTATATTTTCTTTAGTGATTTGTTTGTTTGTTGTGAATACATCTTCCCTCATATGGAGACACCACCAAATAATAATGAAGATAAGATGTGTTTGTGAAACACTGATGTCCCAGTATGGAAGCCTATGGCGAAGGTTGAAGTTTCTCAAATATATGTCAAAATCAAAGGTCAAGGTCGAAGGGTTCAAATTGTTAGTATCAGAAGAAAGTCTTGTCACAAGGAATGCACATGTGAAATAAAGAAATCCCTAGTAATTCCTGTTCAAAAGTTAATTGCCAAGGTTAATTTTTTTGTTTAAGTGGTTCAAACTCTAGGGTCAAGGTCAAACATATTTATACCTGTTGACAGTTCACAATGAATACAATGTGTCATGATAAGTATGAAAGCCCTAGCACCTACTGATCAAAATTTAGGCAGAGTTTAAAGTTTGGTATTTTTCTTGTAAAAATGTGTATCCCATGTCAAGCGATCAGAGGTAAAAATTAATGTTACCCAAATAAAAGGTCTTATTAAATTGTCACAAGAAATAAACCTATAAAATGTGGAAGCTATTTGTATAGCCCATCCCACTTAAAACTTATGGGCAAGCTAGCTAGGATTTAATTTCTGCAGACTTATAGATAGACATACTATAAACACAAGAAACAAAATATGTATAATTATTAGTCAAATGGAAAAAAATATACTATTTAACTGGAATAACAAAATACATTGTTATTTCAGGGACAGGAAGTGGGTAGGAAGATTGGAATCCCCCCCCCCCATCCCCCCATCTGGCATTTGCTTTGTTATTTAAACAAGACTATATACTGTAGCAAGTAAAAAATGACTCTTGACATCCTCTCCCTATAAACTTAGAAAACATTGACCTCACTATCATTGTTTTTTTATTTGTTTATTTGTTTTAATTTTTTTTTCTCCTGCTTGTCACGATTTTTTGACTGAGATGTGAACCCCCCTCCCTACTCCCGAAAAAAATTCTGGATCCGCACCAGTATTGGCAGTAACTGAATGTCACATCGACAACGGGAGATAACTTCACAATATGAAATTCGTCTAGTGTGGCATGCGATGATCTTTCACCCTTTTTAAACTTTAACCTAATAGTTTGGGTGTATTTTACCCCCCACTATACTAAAACTTCTACTTACCGACTCCCTGTGTCTCAACTTCATGAAATATAAATCCAATTATAACTCAAAATGAATTAATCCAATGCACACCAGACTGCAGCCATGTGCCATTTTGGCTAACCTTCGTCGATTCCATCACCTTATCAGATGAAGTGGGAATCGGCCGAGGTGTGCCAAATGGTGTTTAATCTATAAATATGATAATGGATGACGCAACGTGATGTGATGTAGAAATTTACATGTTCACATGTATAGTACAAGAACAAATTTTAAATTAATTCATAACAAACGATATTAAATTTTAACAAACCTTTTCCATCTAGCCTATTCCAAAAAGTATGTGCTGTGTGATTGTGGTGTCGAGGGGGGGGGTTAGTAAATTCAAAAATGTCCTATTATGAGCAAAACATATATCAAAATCTAATTTCAGACGCGGATCCAGAAATCTTTCCCGGGGGGGGGGGGGGGGGTCCACCTCAGTCAAAAAAAAATCCTATCCCAGAAATTGACAATCAAAAAAAAACCTAAAGTAAATCTCACCCAAACGTCATAAACCTATATCGTGGGGGGTGGGGTGGGAGTAGTGGTGACTTCTATTGCCGCAAATTTATAACTTTTCATACTTATTTTACACATATTCGTGTTTACCATGGGGGGATCTGCATTTTCCAAGGGGGGTCCATTGTAACTTTTTCCTTGTTTTAGTATATACATTTTTTAACCTTGTAAATTCCAGGGGGGGGGGGGGGTCCTGACCCCCCCCTCCCCCCCCCCCCCCCCCGACAGATCCGTGCATGAATTTACATCATTAATAAAATTCAGACTGGTATATAATGAATTAAACATGTATAAAATAAATATAAGAGTTTCTGAGTTATAGGTCACAGGGTCTGAGAATTTCATACTCAATTTGATGAATACATGTAAATTATAGAATTATTTTGACTATTTCTTTGGAAAGCCGCCCAATATGTAGGAGCGTGTATTTAGAGGCAAACGCCTTAGTGCGGGTATTACTGTCTCATGACAGCATCTAGTTCTATTTATTGCTTTTATAAAAGTTTTATGTCCCAACTGCTACTTTTCTCCTCCTTTATTATAAGTACAAACCAGTAGAGCCACAGACTTGACAGAGACTTCTGGTTTAAACTTCTCATTTATTCCTCGAAAATAACCTCGATAAAGACTTTTGTTGGGATACAAATTTCCAGTTAGGGTTACAATGAAGGATAAAACCAGAGACCTTGGAATGGAAAACTCTGACGTCTGGTTTTATCCTACCCCCAACCTGAAGTTGTATTCCACCAAAACTCATTATTAATAATATGTATGTACATAATTTTCAAGGAATAAATGAATGTTTTACAATAAAGAGGCTCAACTAGAGACGTCTGAAATGATTTGATTGACAAGAATAAAGTCTATTGAAGCAAATGATGTCATTTTAAAGTACGTTAATGATTGATATATTATAAAAATTAATACAAGCTTGCTTGATGCGGGAGTGCCTGAAGATGAGTTAGGGACCTAGTGGTAAAAATAAGTAGGGGGGTGCCCTTTATACGAAAGAAGTGCCTGTGATTGAAACCCACTGAAATTATGTAACAAACAAAGTCATATGTTAATTGGAAGGAAAGTGAAATGATAGGTCCTAAATGAAAACAATTATGGAAATTAAAAAGTCGTCACAGAGTTAAAAATGAAAAAAATAATGGAAATTTAGTGAATTTCAGATGGAATAAAGCATGCTTTTGACTATTCCAGATTTCTGTGAAATCAAGGAGGTAACAAGCATTGAAGGGGAAGCATCTGCAAATAACAGAAAAGCCAAATTAATATTTTTCTATGAATTTGTTATCAAAGGGGAGTGGTCAGGTGAGATGATAGATTTTTAAATATGAATAAATCTATTAGAATGAAAAAAGAATAAATGCTATAAGGAATATAAGTAAAACATTTATAATATATCATTGTAATAGATTGAATACTGATAGAAAAGATTTCATTTGAATTTTTCAGGTAATACACTGTAATATTAAAATGTGTTTTGCAGGTAAATTTAAGGATAGTGACAAAAAGTATAAAGGGAAATTTGAGATACCAAATCTGAGTGAAGAGAATGATACAGATGAAATTGATGTAAGTTAAGAGATTTTACTTCGCAAATGCACCATACATTGTATATGTTATGATGTTATACTTTAAAACATGGTGGTGTATTAAATGATGCATTTTTTTTATCAGTTTAATGTCACAGTCTCTAATGACTCGGATGAAGCCTTCAAATTAAAGGAATTTCTACGGAAGACTGGAGTCACTCTGGTGAGACAAAAGATGGCAGATTATTTAAATGATTTAAGGCATGGTAAGATCATAAGACGTTATCAAAACGGTAGGAAAGAGATAAAACTTTTCTATGCTTGAACTACAACTCAAGAGTTGAGAAATCTGAATTTCTACCCCCTCCTCTATAACACAGTACAGGACCTTGTTCCTAAACAATGAGTTATTTTTATTACATTCTGTTTGAAACTTTTTTCTCAGCTTTCAACTCACCCAAAGCTATTGTCTCCAGTTTAACTGGAAATATCAGCATTTAAAAAAAAAACAAAACCCTGATACTCTTATGACTTTACATTCATTTAGTTTTTCCCTTTCAACAAATAGTGTTAGCTTTGTTTAGATCCTGACTTATTGATGATTTTTTTTTTAATTTATCAGAGTACAGTAAAGGTGTTGTCTTGCCAACCAAAGGAGGACAACAGGCACCTGCTAAGACTGTAGCAGGAACAGTAAGTGTTTCCAAACATTTACATTTTAGACTTCTCCCAACAGCTTAAACCACTTGACTTCAAACTTGGCCCACATGGTCACAAATTTGGATGAAATATTTTGCCCAGAATGCTTATATCAAAGTATCAACTTAACACTAGAAACATATATCAAGTTGAATCAGTTAGTTATGTATCTAGGTTGCCATGGTAACACGGAGATTTTCAGCTACTTCAAATATTTATCAAGCCTTGATAAGGCTTAAAATTCAACAATCCACTCTCACAAAAACAATACTGATTGTTGCCAAAAATATGTATGTAGATGATAACCAATGGCAAATTTCAATATTAAGATAATTGTATACAATTATGATAGGTGTTACATGATCAAATTCTATCAACAGTACAAGAAAAACTATAAAAATATTTTCCCTGAAGTAATATGTATCGGCATTATTAACCTAAATATAACTTGCATGATTCCTATGGTAACACATGGAAGCCTCACAAAATTTGTTGTGAAATTTTGATTAATGTTGTTATCTTAGAGAAAAAAATGAAAATTCAAGACCATCAATTAAACATCATTAGAAACTTAAAATACAGATAAGTTAAGAAGACTTTGGAGTAATAATCAATCATTTGAAAGGCAAATTGAATTTATACTTTGTTGATGTGTGTTTTAAAGAATAGCTAGAATTTTTCTATTATAATGATTCATGAAAATGTAAATAGGGAATATATCTAGTTTTAATGAACATTTTAGTAAATGTTATTTGTTATTTAAAATATTTTAAAGAATAAGTCTAAAGAAGAAATGAACAAGCATGTGGTGGATACCAAAGTTGCCAAACCCTTAGGGGTAAAAATCCACACCAAGAAAATTGTTGGGAAGGAGGAATTCAAATGTCGTGCTGAGGACCTGTACAGAGCTCTCACTGATGTACAGGTAAAGAAATGATTTTAAAAAATATTATTTTCAGTACTTTAAACCAATTATTACAGTTCTTCACTCAGAGTAACATAATTTTTGTCCAGAAAAGCCACTATTTGCTACATGGACATACATCTATATTTCTGATGGTTTTGAAAGAAAAAACAGTCACAAGTTAAACTATCATCAAACTGTCGTTAAATTTTGTGATGAATACTCATGAATTAAAAAGCTGAAAAAAATTGTATTGTGCTTAGTAATGTGATGACCGGTGAGACATTGCTGACAGAAATTTATTAATGTACAACATATTCAGTTTAACTCTGCAGCATTTTGAATTATTTTTATAGATGGTTCAGGCCTTTTCAGCTAGCCCAGTGGAAATGGAAGTTGAAAAGGGAGGGCGTTTTTCTCTATTACATGGAAATATAACTGGTGACTTTGTAGAATTGGTAAGCAGATTCATTTCTTCTCATCAGATATGATGATATTAGTCAGAATGAATTATCTGCCCCTTCTATGTTTTTTTTTGCTTCCTCGCAAGGCTGATCTAGCAGTACTAGAATTATAAGTTAAGCAGAAAATGAATTCCTTAAAAATTCAAAATTTATAAAGAAGGTATAAGTAAGACGCTTTCCCGTAATTTTGGAACTGAAGTGGTTTTCAGTTTTTGAAGGATTATTGTTGAAACAAATCAGCATGCAGAGCATCCAAACATAGGGGAATAAAATGTTTCTTGAACTTCTCTAAAATAAGTTATAACAAGCATCAGCCCATCAGAAATATTTTTATGAGCACTGTATATGTTTTATGAGACAAAAATGCAATTAGAAATCAATAAACACTAATTTTACATTTTTTAAAATCTTTATCAGTGTGACTTCCAGTTACTGTGTGTGTATTCTTAAAAACATGGGCTTCATTTTTTAGAAGCTATGGCACAGACATGCATGTGCTTATTCATGAATGCTGCTCAGAAATTATTAATACAATAAATGGCACAAAAATGTGTAGCACTTGTGAATATGCCAACAGCTCAGTGCCTTATAGTGATTGTGCTAAATTTTGAATGCACCAATTTATGTACACGTACAGTACATCGGGTTAATATTTTTTAGGAAACAGTATATACTTACATTTATTTCAGCTCATTACAACTATTATCAATTACATTACATTGCAACTACTTCACAGAACAGCTATATATTACTGTGATGTACACATTCCATTGACACGTGCATTGCATATACTGCAATTAAAAGAAGCTTTGAAAAAAAGTTATTGAACCATACATAATGTGAATATTGGATTCTCTACACTTTAATCTTGAATAGCAAATGCAAATCTCATTGAGTTACATATACTTGCTTTATTAGCTCACCTCAACGAAGTTGGGGGGAGCTTATGTGATACCCTCGGCGTCGGTGTCGGTGTCGGCGTCGGCGTCCCAGGTTAAGGTTAAGTTTTTTGGAGCAGTTTTCTTTTTAATTACTTCTGTGTCCTATACTGATTAGACATGCATGGAAGATGGTTTTAGTGTGTTTTATTGTACCAGACAAAGTTTCAGATCACAGGAAGAAACAAGACCTTTCAGTTAAAACTGAAAGGCGGCTTTCAGTAACTTTTCGGTGGCCATTCAGCCACTGAATGGCACATACATTTCAGTGACCTTTCAGTTGCCTTTCAGTCACATTTCAGATACCTTTCAGTCACCATTCAGCGGACACATTTCCGTCAACTTTCAGTGGCCTTTATGTCAACTTTAAGTGACCTTTCACTCAACTTTCAGTGACCTTTCCGTCGTCTTTCAGTGACCTTTCCGTCGACTTTCAGTGACCTTTCTGTCGTCTTTCAGTGACCATTCCGTCAACTTTCAGTGACCTTTCTGTCGTCTTTCAGTGACCTTTCCGCCACCTTTCAGCGATATTTAAGTCTCAATTTAGCAATTTTTTCACTAGCGTATTATTTTATAATCAGATATTTTTCCTTAACAAGAAAGCAATATTTTGAATAAAGATTTATTATTCAATCTTAATTGTTTTTTTTTACTTATCGTGATCAAATTCGGGTACTTTAAAATATGTCTAAGTTATTATTATAATTTTATAAAATATGTGAGACTTATTCAAAATGATTTTTAATTTTCTAGTTACATTTAGAAAACAAAAATTCTTCAAGTGATAAAAAATGATGATCCTATAACCGATTCAAAATTCAAATAAATGCATAGCATTCTATAGTGCTTATACTTGTATATTTTTTTCATGGAAATCTATAGTTTTGATTGATGAAACAGAATTTATATTATTTAAACCATTTCTGGAAGATCGCAAGTGTTACTGATCAATTTTGTTTCTTAATTATGTCATTGTCAAAACTGCAGGATATTTAGTTTTTGAAAGTCATTATTTCAAATTCATTTTTAATTACAAGAATAAATATTTCGTTTATACATGCCTCTTGTAGAAAAAAAAATATATTAGATTTTAGCTTTCTGAATGATATTGCTTTAATAAAATCATTCTACTAAGTTTCTAGATAGAGAATTTACAACGATCTTAAATTTTTGACACAGGAACAGGTGCCCGTCTCTGATAATTGTCAACATCCCGATAGGAGATGTGTTTACAATTAATTAGTCTGTCCCCAAAATCTGTGCAACTAACATAGAATATACAAAAGATATACAAGATATATACACATCGCAGCTCCTCGATACAACAGGTGAACTGATTGTTCCATCGATTTCTATAAATTAATTGATTTTAAATCCGCATTTCTTAAGAAGAAGTCGTAGCGTAATTGATAAGGTCATGGACACTTAAGCAGGAGATCAGGGTTCGATTCTTGGCATGGGAGCAATTTTTTTTCTTGCATTAATTTTTTTCCTATTTTTTTTATTCGGAATTAGATACATTTAATGCTATTAGACCAGGAAAAAGTGAAATAAAATTTTTAGGTAAAAAAATAAGCCGATTATTCAATAAAAAGATTCAACTGAATGATCACGGAAAGGTCACTGAAATGTATGTGCCATTCAGTCGACTGAATGGTAACTGAATGATCACGGAAAGGTCACGGGAAAGGGTCTTTTCAGTGACCTTTCAGTGACCATTCAGTGGCCATTCAGCCACCATTCAGTCGACTGAATGGTGGATTTTCATCCTGTGGATGCTGCAATTTCAGCAAAGGAATGACCAGGTTAATGTTTTTGGAGCAGGTTAACATTTTTGGTGCAGTTTTTGGTGTGGGTTTCATTTCCAAGTAACTATAAGCCCTATGTTGACCAAACTTGCATGGATGATACATCTAAGGATGCATACTACCGGGCTTGCTTCGGATGCTGAATCTGACCTACATTTTCCGGTTGAGTGAACAAGTTAAAGTTTTTGGTGTAGGTTTCATTTCCAAGTAACTATAAGCCCTATGTTGACCAAACTTGCATGGATGATACATCTAAGGATGCATACTACCGGGCTTGCTTCGGATGCTGAATCTGACCTACATTTTCCGGTTGAGTGAGCAGGTTAAAGTTTTTGGTGCAGGTTTCATTTCCAAGTAACTATAAGCCCTATGTTGACCAAACTTGCATGGATGATACATCTAAGGATGCATACTACCGGGCTTGCTTCGGATGCTGAATCTGACCTACATTTTCCGCTAGAGTGAACAGGATAAAGTTTTTGGTGCAGGTTTCATTTCCAAGTAACTATAAGCCCTATGTTGACCAAACTTGCATGGATGATACATCTAAGGATGCATACTACCGGGCTTGCTTCGGATGCTGAATCTGACCTACATTTTCGGCTTGAGTGAACAGGTTAAAGTTTTTGGTGCAGGTTTCATTTCCAAGTAACTATAAGCCCTATGTTGACCAAACTTGCATGGATGATACATCTAAGGATGCATACTATCAGGCTTGCTTCGGATGCTGAATCTGACCTACATTTTCCGGTTGAGTGAACAGGTTAAAGTTTTTGGTGTAGGTTTCATTTCCAAGTAACTATAAGCCCTATGTTGACCAAACTTGCATGGATGATACATCTAAGGATGCATACTATCGGACTTGCTTCGGATGCTGAATCTGACCTACATTTTCCAGTTGAGTGAACAGGTTAAAGTTTTTGGTGCAGGTTTCATTTCCAAGTAACTATAAGCCCTATGTTGACCAAACTTGCATGGATGATACATCTAAGGATTCATACTACCGGGCTTGCTTCGGATGCTGAATCTGACCTACATTTTCCGGTTGAGTGAACAGGTTAAAGTTTTTGGTGCAGGTTTCATTTCCAAGTAACTATAAGCCCTATGTTGACCAAACTTGCATGGATGATACATCTAAGGATGCATACTACCGGGCTTGCTTCGGATGCTGAATCTGACCTACATTTTCCAGTTGAGCGAACAGGTTAAAGTTTTTGGTGCAGGTTTCATTTCCAAGTAACTTTAAGACCTATGTTAACCAAACTTGCATGGATGATACATCTAAGGATGCACACTACCAGGCTTGCTTCGGATGCTGAATCTGACCTACATTTTCCGGTTGAGTGAATAGTTAAAAGTTTTTGGTGCAGGTTTCATTTCCAAGGAACTATGAGTTTTTAAATGACCAATCTTGCATAGACGATCTAAGGATGCATACTTCCAGGCTTGCTTCGGATGCTGAATCTGACCTACTTTTTGTAGATGAGTGAAAATGTTAGTTTTGATGCATGTTTCATTTCCAATAAACTATGAGCCCTATAATGAGCAAACTTGCATGGATGATACATCTAAGGATGCACACTAATGGACTTGCTTCGGATGCTGAATTGGACATACATTTTTCAGATAATAGACAAGGTAAAAGTTACGGTTGCAGGTCTATTACCAAAAACTATAAGGCTTATATAACATTGTATAAACCAAACTTGCACAAATGCTGCATCAAGAGATGAAAACTCGCAAATTTGCTTCAGATGCTGGATTTTCATTACATTTTCATGAAGAAGAAGTAGTTTAAATTTTTTATGTAGGTCTATTTCAAAGTATCAGATCAAAATGGCTTTTAAAAATATTTTCATTTTTGGAATGTATACCTTTTTTTTGGTTAATTGTGTGACTTTGCCTTACTTAAAGACAACATTCGTTGAGGTGAGCTCTGTAATCTCTGATTACCTATGTTTTTTTGTTTATGCATTTCTCCACATAAAAATGCCAAGTAAGAATTGTTCAATGCTAAGCCTTTCTTGTGACAGTTCTGTTTACATGTTCTTTACAAATGCATGTAAATGTTAGAAATATTTTGAGTGTAGTAGTATAATAATGAAATATATTTTCACTTAGCCTATTAAATGTATTGCTATTTGCAGATTCCTAATCAGAAAATAGTACAACATTGGAGAGTGAAATCATGGCCAGATGCTCATTATTCAACAGTGACTTTTGAATTTGATGAAAAAGATGACTGCACTGTGCTTAACTATACACAGACTGGTGTTCCTGACACAGAATACGAGAAAACAAAAGAAGGCTGGGCCATCAACTACTGGAACAGAATGAAACAAGTGTTTGGATTTGGCTCTAGTATATACTAATGGAAAAGAAAATCTAAATATTCTATAAATTTACAATTTCTGAGTGATCTCCTCAAAGGTGTCTTGCATTTTTGATGGAGAAATAAAACAATTTGAACAACAGAAGAAGAGGAAATTATTTTGAAATACCATACATTTATCACTTTAGACTTCATCATCTGTGATCCATTACTGGCACACTTTGTATCTTGAAATGTATTTGGGTTTATATTGTAATTGAGTTAAGATGTTTTGTGACAAAGATTATTGTTCCTTAGGAAGAGTTCTCCATCCATTTGTCAATTGGCAATTTTTGACCCCCCACATAAACTCAACCATTATAATGCTACATCTGATTTCTTGATTTTCACAATTTCTGGTTTTAAAAATGCATATGTAAATGCAGAGTAAGTGAATGAATGATAGCAAATCACCATATTATGAGTACCTCACTAATAGACATATTCACAAATGTCAAAAATGTGATTGTTGAATGGTAGAGATTGGAATACTTTTTCTTGTCTACTTTTTGTTAAACAAAACTCATTGTGACTATGTGAAGTATCATATTTAGGCAGACGCTTTTAATGATGAAAAAACAAAAAGTTTAGCCCCTGTTTAAATAGCTATTTATGACCTAATGATAAATTCGGCCAATCTCCTACTTGTAATAAATATCAAACATTTCTCTATATACACAGTAAATTTCTACCATTTTCAGCAACATTTGAGTTTTATACAGAAAATTGGAGTGAAACTTAGTCACTATGTTAAACAAATAATTCAGTGGCTATATATAAATAGTCACTCCTTGTTTTGTGTTTTTTATGAGAGCAAGGTGTGGATTTTATTAAGTGATTACTGTAGATTCCTTATTTTACACGAGTACTTATTATTGCGAAATGACTCTTTAACGTCAAATCAAGAGAATATTTATTTGCGATTGATAAAGAGAATTTACATGGATTTCAGCACCATGAAAAATAAAAGCAACTTATTTTATTTTGCAAGTGATGCTTCACCCAAAATTATGCTATAATAAATTTCTTGAGTTTAATTAGGAATTTACAGTATATTAAAATGTACATACTTATGACTATCTAATAACCAAAGCCTTTGTTTCTCTTCATATTTTATGTGCCGAGTGCTTTTATTGACAAACATGCATTTGATAACTTTAGTTTGTTTTCACAACTTGGCTGAATATTATTCAATTCTAACTACCGTGTAGCGGGTTTTCTTGGCGGATGTAAAATTTGGCATTTTGCCTGCTCAAAGGTATGCCAATAATTTTGGCGTAATTTATTTTAACGGACACAGTAATTCAGCTCTTTATAGATGAACACTAAGAAGAGTATTAACTATTTTAGCGATTAAAATTTTAGCGGGCTACCATCAAAATGCCAAAATAAGCCAAAATTA